CCCAGTCATTGAAGTAATTTTGTCTGTAGTCAGCAGAATTGCCCAGAGATATATTTTCTGGTTTAAGACCCAAGAAAGGTGAAAAGCTCCGCAGTCTCGGAAATGACTTGAAGCATTATAATCTTTGTTGTTGTCCAATTGCTTTTGAGCACCAAGATGACTTGCATTCATAGATAAGGAACTAAAAGATGATGATTGTATCCACTCAGAGTTATGATGTGAAGGCAAAACAACGGTAGGCGGAAGGGCAGAACTCAAACTTGAATTCAGAAAATGACTTGAAACTGGAGAAGAATGATCAACATAATTATTCCGAATGCCTGATAGCTCCTCAAAATTGCTTGCATAAGAAGATGGATTCCTGTTATGGTAATTGCTTGATGACAAAACCGAACCACTTGAAGAGCATCTCCATTCAGGAAGCAAGTTGTTCTTGAATATAGAGGAACTACATTTATTAGGCAGCAAAATGCTATCTTTGATTGGAGATACTTGTTGAGGGTCAGAAGGAAGACCAAAAGGTACACCCTTGCTCTTAATTGAGTCTTGTAATTGATTTAACCTTTCACTTTCTTTGAGATCTGTGATCAGGATTTTTCCTGCTGAGAAATGAAATAAAAAAATTTTTAAAAAAACACCTAGCATGATCTTTTTGTTAAGCAGATTAACAAACTTGCAGATTCTCCAATTTTTTATTTCTCAATTTAATTTTGTTGAACTTGACAAAAAACATGACACTTATCAAAAGTAACTGCAAAAGTTCTCGTAAATTGACCTTACAATTAATAATATATACCTTCATCAAGTTGAGTTTGTCCTTTACCATTTGCAGCAGTATCTACACCGGACTGTTGGCTATTACTGCTCCCATGATCTTTTACATGAAGAAACCTACAAGAACTTCCTTTGATGCACCACCCTTTACTGAAAAAGTTACATATAAGAGCACGGCGCTTGTTTGCATCCTTAATTTCAGAATTGGGAGAAAGACTTCCTGCTGTTATCTCAAGTGAACTGATTTAAAAAGAAAAAAAGAAAAAGAAAAAGTCCTCAAGGAATAAGAAGTAGACAAAATAATATTTTGAAAATTGAAACAGATAAGAACTTGATATTTCACATTGCGTCAGAAGTGAAACTAAAGAACTCATCAAAATAGCATCATCCGCACCTGGATTCTTTTCTTTTCTTATCATTCTCTGTGTTGATTTCACTTTGCTTATCCACATAACCAAGAACATTACTCGAGACCCGATGAAACTCATCTCTAGATGGGATAGAAGGAGCAACATCCTTGCCAATAACAGTGGATAAATTGGTGTTTACAACATTATGAACATCATTATCACTGTGGAGTTTTGGCGAACTCTTTTCTCTAATACTACCATTATCTTCAATACTTTTCATAGATGGATCATTTTCCTCAGGAAGATCCAGTACCCTTTCCAATGTTGGATAGTTGGAATTTTCAACGTTTAGACCTGATTTTTTTTGTGTGGTTGACTGTTCGTCTGAAATGCCAGAGCAATTATGATGACAATTCAAAGGTGATTTCTTTTTAGGTTCCTCAACTTCAGAGCAACCTGATCCTAAATTAGCTTCGTCTGCTGTGTAATCCATACCTTTAGTGATATCTATGTCAAGGAAAAACAACGTCA